CTGCCATTAATGTGAAAAGCCTAATTGATGAAAAGCAGTTGGCAGGGCGACATGACAGCTCTGCAGGAGTTTGTATAACACATGATATTTTTTGTAAATGGAGCTGAAAAGGCCAGTGGAATAATTTAATGTCATGCTGTTTGTCAGTGGCAATGCAAAACATGACTTATTGCTTACATTTTTTTTCTTTTTCCTTTTTCTAATTTAGCTGCTTCCAAGACCAGCTTCCAAGACCAGCTTCCAGTTAGGTGGCTCTTTTATTCTTTAGTCAGACCAAGTTGACCCACTTCAGTAGGTGCTCTGGTAAATAATTGTTTTTTCTCGGTCAATGACTCAGGTGCTCCTGCCTGTAATCCCACCAAATGGCAAACATCACTGTCATCACCACCGCTGTCTGTGTTGTGTTACTATAACAGTTTTCTGATTGCTGCCATTTAGGCTTCTAAGCAGTAATTAAAATGTTTTGTAGGAGATTTTGTAAAAGCCCATTACTGTGTATACTGCAGGCAAAACAATGACTTTGATTGTTTTAGTCGCATTCAGAAAAAGATCATGTGTGATCCAGTACAGCCACAGTGTGAAAAATGTGCATTTTACTGGTAAATATCCTTAATATATAACTACAAGAGCAGTGCAACATGAACAACTCTAAAGCAAGGCACCACTCAAACTTCATATATTTTAATTATTGTAATAATTAATTTTCTTAATAATCGATTCAAAAGTATTGAATTGCAGATCTTGTGATGATATTTAGAAAATGTTTTAGTTGTTATAGGGGAAAGTTTCATTTTGATGCATTTAAATTACTCCCAGTGAGTTCAGCGTACTGTATATTTTATTGCAGTCTGACTGTGGGGAATTACGTAAGGGCTTATGTCCTTTCACTTATCTGTAATGACAGTATTTACAGAACACTTACATGCTAAAATCAGCACCAAAGAACATCGAAGGTAGGCGGTGAGGAGATCAAAGCCACCGGCTGTGGTTTTGCAAATTGTTGAGCAAAAGCAAAAAGATTATAGAGGATGTACAGCAAAATCACTGTCGTAAACTGAGGAGCCATAAATGTAAAGCAGTAAAAACGTAAAACAAATCAGTCCATACCTTCAAATTATTTTGATGTTTTTCTTTTCTTCAAGCACAGGTTCAATAATTTATGACCAATTGTGCGAGGACAAATTAAAGACATGTCTTTAAGGTCAGAGGACCGTGCTGTAAATTCTGCCAAAATGTAAAATGTATTGTGTTTTTAAAATCATGATGACAGGCACATACTGAGCTTGGCTGAACACACAACAAAGTCGCTGACAGCTGCAGCCGATTCCTTCGACATGGTATAGAAACCTTACTTATATATTTATGCTTCAATTGTGTTTGGTTCTGTGTTTTTCCTGTACGTGTAAACCAGAATGACAGAGACAAACACAATCCTCTCAGGAAACAGACATCACAGCCTCACTTATGTTTGTCTTATCAAATAACAACAAAAAGAGGCAGAGCTGCTTTTAGCTTTTAGAGTTTAATTGAAGGTGAGTGTTGGTATCTGGGCTTGACCAAAAGAATGTGCCTGGCCTCAAAGACTCATGGGATATCACACCCCACTTCACATTGGTCTGGGCTGCTTTGCATGTCTAAAACAAACCACTGCATCTGTTTTTACTCCGTGTTTTGTTTGTGGATTAAAAATGAAAGGAGAGCGAAAAAAGTGGACGAATTTTTAGAAGTTTTAGTCAGAGACAAATGAGCAGAGAGAAGATTTCCGGGTGTGGCAGAAAGAGACAAGAGAGTTGAAACGTTATTATATTATTATTAAAATGTCGCACCTGGAACACATTGAGGTTCACTGCTGGGCACTGAGAATATTTAAAGTGGACAATGTCATGGTCAGCTGGTGACTGAGGTCTTTACTGTAGAAGAAACTCAAATCACAGTTACAGCCACTGGAGTATTGGTGGTTCATTTACAGTTTAGTATGGACTGGAGTCAAGTGTTTGAATTTTACCATCCACTATTCCACATGTGGATGTGTCTGAGCATAACTCAACTGTGTTCCCTGTAAGCTTGGATCTCGCATCACAGGATTGTTGTGTTTCTAATGGCTAAAGTAGCAGATGTGAACGTCAAAAAGTTCTAACAAAATCTGACAGCAAATTATCAAAATAACTCCACTCAACTACCAATTCTTTGAAGAGCTGCAAAACAGATTTTGTTTTATTTATATCAATTTATATCAACATAATTGGACTTTTTTTCTTTTTTCTTACCAATCACATTTAAAGTAGAAATATTGATGCTCCAAAAACAAAAAAGCTGAGGTAATATATATCCATACACATCAGAGGGATGATTTTTGTTTTCTGTTTTGGCATTGAGTCAAGCTAAAAAAGAAAGCCAAAGAGTTGCATGTGGCTCACAGGTTGCAGACTCCTGAACCAATTAATCAATTTGTCTGATACAGCGTAGGTCAGACCTTTGAGACCAAAATAATTTTGGAGTGCGCTTTTGCAATTATTTACAGGCTAGAGTTTCAAGTTAGTCTCAGCTCGTCTGCTCATCCCTCTGTAAACTTTTCTCTGCAGGTGGAGCATGTGGATAATGGTGGAGAGTAATTGCACACACATGTACACACACATAATAATGGCTGCCTGCGTTCAGTCGTACAGCTCGAGGATGTGTTTACGCTGATTAAGTGTGAACTTGGACGTCTTACCAGAATCATATATACAGTATCATCCTTTATCCTTCTATCTATCTGCCTCACACGTAAACACAGCCACACTCACAGTCATACCACAGGTGGGAATGGTTTTGTTTGTTTGGACGGCTTGAACTCCCCTCCCTTCTGTCTCGCATTTCTCCACCTTCTCCTCCTCCCTTTCCTTTTTCACCTCTTCTCTGTTTCCCTCACATCCACTCATCTGCCCAGTCTCACACCACCTTGAAGCAGTTTCTCCAGTCCTCTCTCTTCTCCACATTTTTAAAATGCCAACTCCTCTCTTTTTTTCTTTCCTCTGACAGCACACACACACACACACGTATTTTAGAGGAATGCACGGAATGCATTGGTTCCTGCAGCATCATGTTGTTGTTATGAGACTGCAAACCCACAAGCTGAGGAGCATGAGTGCTTTTTCAGAGCGTATGAAGGTGCAGCATGATTGATGAAGATATGGGACAGTGTTGATCCAGTGCTTAAAGCCTGGACGCTTAATACAAAGTTAAACAACAAGGTGGCTGACTACAGCAACGCAGAAAATATACACTGATTTACAGCAACTGTTATATATTTGCATTTCCTCGATTGTTATATAATATTATGCTCTGCTGGAATTTTTTCCCCCTATTTGTTTATAAACCATATAAGCTTAACAATGTCCATATTACTTTATCAGTTTTAAAACAGACATGTCTCGGACCTCCTCCAGTGTGGGATGCACAGGAGATTTATCTGGCTCCAGGGATGGCTAACCTGATGAAAACACAGATAACCCGTCTGCTCATCCTTGTTCGGCTGAGCGAGCTAAACTGCTGTCTTCACTTGTCTAATGGCTTGTTTAAACAAATATATGTCAATTACCTTCCATTTTGTTGGCAACCAGTACGTGAGCGACCCACTTTGGTTAAGTCTTCCACTTCTTTATACTGGAGGTAAATAGAACGACTGTAAATATTTGACCAGATGAATGGCATTACTGCTGAAGGGTTGGATAATCTGACCTGATAAAACATAAACATCTGCACCAGAATGACATTTGTGCAGCACTGTGGAAAGGTTAATAATAATAATTCCAGCACAGGAGGACTTAATAACTGGTTTAACTTACATACATATATATACTTATAAATATATATATATGTATGTACATGAATATGTCCAGTACATAATGATATGTCCATATGAAATCACTATGAACACACATCCTCATCCCGAGTCCTGTGGTTGAATAGAGAGTTCATTTCTGAGTGGCTGATGATAGCATGCACCTCAGCCCTATCTCTCTTATCAGCCAGCGAGCTGAGAGATGGAGGAGTCCGTCCACTGGACTCAAGCTTGTCTCACTGTTTATCCACCCTGATTGATATTGTTCATCTGCTGAACTCAGCTCTGCATTCTCTGAACTGCAGGGCGTTTTACAATACGTGTTTAACAGTTCCTCTGGACACTCTGTGCTCTGTTGATATGTTTCTGAATTATTATGGAGTTCAGTTTTTTTTTAATAACTTAACAGCAAACAACAGGGAGGGGGAAGTGTCATAAATGGCATTCTCTTCTGTTTTCAAGTGGTGAAAACCTTTGTTCAACTTGATGTTACCGTAACAGCAGACTAGAGGTGAAGCCTGCTACAGCTAAAGTTACACCTACAGCTACAGCATAACCTCAAGCTTTTAAGGCATCACCAGGCAGGCTGTAATATACAATCCCTAACACCATGTTCTGATTTGTCCTGGCATCTCCTCCCACTCACACTGACTGGAAATACTTCCACAGTGAGGCGTTTCGGAGACATCCTAATCAGAAACAACTCCTAAACACATTACACAATAAAACGTTTCTATTCAACACGAAAGAGTAATAACTCCTCTGAGCCCTTTCTGATATGATTGGCTTTAGTGTGAAGGCTGAGGTAACTGACGTCAGAGCGAGTAGAGAATAAAAAAAGCTTCCACACAAAAGCATTAGCATGGAAAATGAGAAGCGAGTGGCTTATTTTAAGAAAATACTCAGTATTCTTTAGAGATACCTCCAACAAATGTCAAGCTACAGACTGTGAATTGCTGTTGTATGGTGGGTAGAGCAGGCCTTTAAATCAGAGATTGGGGGTTTGATTCTGGTCTCCTCTTATCATATGGCTATGATGGTTGGCAACTTCCACTCAGTTAAAAAAAACATTTTGAAAATTTTACAAATGGAACTAAGCAGTATCTAAGGAAACAACACCAGACACTTTTCAAAAAACAGCACGTGTTAATGAAGGATAAGGACATCAGCTACATACCCCCAGATGGCAGTTAGATGTGACGTCAGCCTGTGGGACCTGTGAGAACAGACACAAACACATTACAATTAAACTGTAGAAACATCATCTTAACTTTATAATGGATACACTGAACAGTCTGTATTTGTCACACTTGGGATTCGATAGATTGGCACATTCATCAGGGACGCCATGTGTATAAATATACAGTAAACCCTTTATGTATGGGACAAACTTTTTAAAAAAAGGTATTACCTATTGCTTTTTCACTGTAGTTACATTAGGTTTTACCCAGAACAATCAGCTTCAATATTAAAGAAATTAAAAACATGAACTGTCGTCATCATCCAAGTTTTCTGTCACCATTAATCATTGTGTGCTGATTGGTTGATCACCTGAGCACCTGAGACAATGCGTAGATCATTGAACAGGTTTGTTGTATTGAAGTCATTCATGTAATTAAAAAAAATAGAATTTCTAGGACAATCAACCGTGCACAGACCAAAAAAAAGTCCACCATTATTGTCGGTCAGGAAACACTGGCGCCCCCTGAAGAGAGCCAAGATCAAACAACACTAAAAGTTTAAGTCTATAAAAACCTAGTAACAGTGAGATATACTCAAGAATAAATAATAGTGTGATATGATCTCTACTCCTAATGCCCGCTTCATCAACACTACACAGCCAATAACAGTTGTTGTTTGTTGCGGGTATGTGAATTTTGGCTGCACTCTCTCTGTCCTTTCTTTTCTCACTCCGTGGTTTCTGGCCTCATTTATAGAATCGTACACCTCCCTGGCTCATTTTGGTCATGAGGTAGGAAAACAGACAGACTGCTGCACAGCGCTCAGTTCCTTTTCTAACTAACATTCCATAGTATGCATGTACACACACGTACACAAACAGTGTTGGTTAAAACTACCTTGAGTGGAGGTGACAGAAGCGTTAAAACTCTATGATCTTCCCTGAGGGCATAAACAACTCTATAAACCTGAGGAATATTATTAATAATTTGCTCTGGCACCAGTCATTGGCATCTGCGTTTGAGTCCAGTTTATTTTTTTCAAATACTACAAGTACTGTTTCACTTGGTGTTTGCACAGCCGTTCTAGTGGAAAAGGCACCGGACCAACCTACACTACGCAGCACATCCCAAGGTCGTAAACTTGTTTGACTCTGACCAAAGTAATACAAGGACAGAAGGTTATGAAAACTTTTGCTTCTCATTCTGTCCAAACTGCTGGCTTGTGGGCAGCTAACAGGGTTAGGTCCTCAACCTTTGTTGGTCCACATGCTAAGGTTACAAAAACAACTAGAGTTTCTACGTGATCCAAGTTTGAGCTCACATCCACAGGACATTTAGTTTTCATTGATTTAATAAATCTCTACATTTCAGCATCATAGGTCATTGCTTTGTTTGGACAACCTGTGGATTGCGTGGCCCTGGATTGATTTGTATACAAGTCACTGGTGGAGACATTCAATAATCAGACAAATTACAGGGTACAGAGAAATATATCTTCAAAACCCGACCATTTCAGCCCACTCTGTGTGTTTATTCTGCTCAGAAATCAGGCAGATTTTATTGCCTCAGACGAATGATTTGTATTGTGCTTATAAAATGGGATATGATGCTCAAAATCTCCTCAGAAAGTGTTCTTCGCTCAAGTGAAATAACATGTGAGGTAAAGCTTCTCTGTCACTAGATGTATAAACATTAGTTTAATTATTTCAATATTAGGTTAAAAAACCTTGTCATGTTCAAATTGTTCTGTGTTCTTTTATATTGAAATATTATTACAGTAAACCCTTGTTTTTCGCGGGGGTTACGTTCCAAAAAGAACCCGTGATAGGCAAAATCCGTGAAGTAGAAATCTTTATTTTTTTTACAATTAAATACTCAGAAAAAGAAGAGAAAGAACGAACAAACCATTTTACAGTCTCAACCATTTGTTTCACAAATAAAGTAAAATAAAAGTACTTTAGAAACGTTTCAACAAATAACTTCTGTAATGTACTGTCAAATAATAATTTTAATCATCAACGTGAACAGAAGGCTTCAAATTGCGGAGATTAGCACCGCCCACCGTGAACGGGAGAAAATTAAAAATGATTATGAAAAAAATACAAATTACCTGGTCTTGTTGCGGGCAGTTGCAACCCTTTTTGAATCCTTATTAAAACTTATTGCTGCTGTCTTCCTTATGTTTTTTTCTTCCTTCTTTATGGAACGAACGGAAGATTCATTAATTCCATAATGCCGACCTACAGCCGCATAGCTTTTACCTTCATTTAGCATGTCCAATAGTTTTACTTTATCACCGATAGACAGCATCTTCCGCTGCCTTTTGGTCCCTACCGCAGGTACTTTTGCCGGTCCAGAGCGTTTTGTCGACATTATGGGGTTTGATAAACTCGAAATTGCAAGAGAATTTGCACGTACGTAATGTCAATTTGGCAAGCTGTTTTACGTACGTGTACATATTAAACCGCAACGTTATTGGCGCACAGGTAGAGAAGAAGCGGAGTGACTTTTTAGCCAATCAGAATGCAGAACACAATGCACGATGCAAATCCGTGAAGTAGCGAAACCGTGAAAAGTAAACCGCGTTATAGCAAGGGATCACTGTACATAAAAAGTTTTAAAAAGGTTGTTATGTTATGTATGTTAAAGTGGGTATGTTTTAGTTTGTGGCATCTCTGGTACAGCTCATAGGTTTTAATGTTTGTTAAATTTCTATTTTTTGTGTTATAAACAAATTCTGCAGCCTCTTCTTCTATTAGCCTTTAGCCATTACTACTTTTGTTTCTATTATTACAACTGCCTTCTCTTTCCTCCGAACATATTTGAACACTTTTCCTTTTAACATCAATTAGATCATTTCACTGACCACCACACACATTCTTGTAACTACATACCGACGCCTGATTAATCTAAAATTTTCTGAAAATGCAATGCTATGAAATAGGATGTCTGTCTTTCCCTCATGATCGCCCTCACATTTGGACTTTATAGCAGTGTAATGATGATGGCCTAAGTAATTTGCTTTGATGGATTGAATCAGTTTGACGTTGAATTTTGACCACGTAAAATAATAGCCTTAAACAGTGCTCTAAGAACCACGTTTTAAAATGTGATAGCTAAATAACTGTACTCTGATGGAAAAATACTCAGCTCAACCAATAAAAAATTATACATTTATTTTATGAGTACATTTAATTTATTGCACTTGTGTGGGTCATCAAAGCCAGAAAATTACAAAACAGTTTTACATTCTCCAGAACAAAAGGACCGGCCATTTTAAATTATGACCACATACAATGGAGTCGGTAAATGTGCCATTAGTATAATAACGAAATGTCGTGTGACTGCATGGCATTTTTATTAAGTTTTGAAGAAAAATCCTGTTAATTTTTTTAACCACAACAAATTGAACGATCATTGCCATTATTTCTTTACAGAACATGGATAAAACGTTCCCCCACAGAGCTAGAAAAACAACACAATATCACAATATTATGTGACAGAAGCTGCTTATTTGGGGTTTTTATGTTGTTTTTTTTTTTCTTTTTCCTGTCTTTTTCACTCTTCTGCTGGAATCTAATACTCTGTATTTTGTGGCAGTGAAACTTTGCACAGAGCGAAACTTGACTGGAGAAATCATGCTATGCTCTCAGAGAGGCTGATGTCTGCAAGATGTGTCCACGCTCGAACCCCCACCTCCACCTCCACCTCCCCCTCCGCTCCACACACAGTTTTCCTTACAAGTATAATGTATATAAACCTTTGGGGTTTTGCTACACAGTGAGCCGAGATTGCTATGTCAAACAAACGCAAACTGATCTAATGTCTCACAGAAGAGGTTTACCCTTTGAGGAAGTGTTGCAGCCTGAGTACAATATGGGCCACAACTGGACGGACTGCACACTTCCACAGATTCCTACTGTGATGCATTGGACTGTTTTAAGAATTAAAATCGAAACTATTTTGGAATCAAATAATTGTTAGAAGTAGAATGAATTTCCTTTCAGATATGATAGTGATCTGGGATTTACACTGACAGAGCAGATTTTATAACAATTAATTAAATTATTAATTTAAACACTATTTGTGTTCTTCAGATTGTATGTAGTTGTTATAGGACACCTGTCAAAATTCTACAAAGAATCTGTCTCAAACACTGCTGGTCAAAGTCAAAAGGAGGAGCGATGGATTTGGAGAAATAGGGTTTTTGTTTTTTTTTTGGTAAATTAAAAAAAAAGTCTCTTTGTTTCAGAACATTGATTTTCCCCAGTATCACTTTGTTTAAAAGTTTATTTTTATCAAAACAAACGATACGCTTTCGAAATGTGTCTCCATCCAGGTTTTCATTTCATGGCGTGGAGGCATCTCGTCAGCAAACGTCAAGTTTGTCTTGGTCTGTATTCCTGCAGCCCAGTCTCTGTCTCTTTTTTTTTCTCAAGATTTAAATATTTAGTTTTCAACCACTGCCAGCTTTGTTCCCTCTGTGTGTGTGTGTGTATATGTGTGTGTGTGTGTCAGCTTCTTGATTAAACATTCTGCCAGTTCTCGGTTAGTGGAAACATTTTTAAACATTTTACATCAATTTAACTACATTTACAGCTATTTTCATTCTAAATCATAACATATTTCTTTACACATTGGGGTAAAAACTTTGAATGGTGTTTTTTTTTACTATTTAAAGCAACATTTTAACTCAATAGTTATTAGTTAGATATTTCAGTAATTAGCAGCTGATTTTTTTTAGAATTTTTTTATTTTTGGGGTTGATCTAAGATTCATTCAGATTTCATGGTGTCGGCAGAGTTAAATACTCTAAATAATTCATTTGAACATCTAGATGTGTCAGTTATCCTGATCGGACCATTAGACAGTCCTGTTAGCTCCAAAACACCTAGCCAAATTTGTCATAATTGATGCTGAATTGTTCATAGCCTTGTAATTCCCATGTGTATAAATAAGAACAGCAACAATCGGATTTTATACCATGAATACATTCTCTCATTTTTGTCTCTATCACCAATCTAAATCTGGACGT